GGCAAAATAAGGCCACCACGAAAAACCGGTTTCTTTTAATATTATCTCTACTGACAATGTTATCGCCACAAATAAGCTGTTTACACCCACGTTTCGTTGGTCGGAGATAACGACACGGACGTCGTAAAACCGACGCAACATGCACTTTTATTTGGACGCCGCGTGAATCGGCCATATATTCGGCTGGTCGAAGGGTCAGCGATATCGATAGTCCCGGCGTAGATAACGATAACTTTGTGCACGTAGATGTACGGAAAACGGACGGAAAACACGGAAACGGCCATTGGAAACGGAAAAGATGTTTTCAAACGGGAAAACGTAATTTGAACATATTACAACATGGAAATTTCAATGAAATCACACAAAAAACCGTCGACAATAGCATTGGTAATGATATGGTTTACATTCAGACAAGTTTCAGAGCGAAATGACTTACAATTACGACTTTTGGTAGCCCTAGCTGTGCTTCGGTTTCAAAGGTTGTACCAAATACCTTTTTTTTCCATGCAAATATATGTAAACAGAATTTAGCATTTTTAGCTAATCTGACATAGTCAGATGCAGCTTGTAGAATCGCATGATCGTCCGTGCGTGCGTCCGTGCGTCCGTCAACAGTTGGGCACAAATCTAAACGGCTCGACGTACGGATTCGAAAGTCGGGATGTGGGGTGGGGGGGGGGGGGTAAGTCCGAAAACGAGTTGGGATGTCAAAGCTGGGAGTCAAAGGTCAAAGGTCAAGAGGCGTAGAAGAAGGGGGAACATTCCCTCTTTAACTTAAGGTATAGGGAGGAAATGCAGAAATGCTGCACAAATCTAAACGGCTCGACCTAGGCTCATGATAGTCGGTGTATAGCATCATGGTAGGAAAAGCCATCACTGTGCCGAAATTGGAGGTCACAGGTCAAAGGTCAATGGGGCACAGGGCATATTTTAGACATTTTCTGAGGACATGGTCTGACGGAGCGATTGAAAAACTTTTTTGTTTCAGCGGTGAACTACCATTTTTATGGCTTTATTGAAAGGACCATGAAATCTACTTTCTGCTGACATGCGAAGAGTAAGTGTCGGATAACCTTTTGACCCTCAAGAGGAGGGTTAAACATGGATTTGTTTACTGTTAGAAATAATTTGACTGCCGGGTTTTCTAGTAGAATCTATACATGCCTGGATGTATGAGGCTACAGTGTCACAGTGAAATTTCAAAAGCTAAATTTGGTTGAAGAAGGTTTATGCTCCTTAAATCGTATAATTTCTATGGCATTCTGTACTGTCAGTGTGTTACATGTAACGTATGCCACTGCCAGTGGCCACTGCCAGTGCATGTGGTGGTGGTACTGTGTAGTTTTTGCCTGCGTTAATTAGTTACTGATGGCAGCTCTCTATTTCAGCCTGTAGGCTTGCGTAGGTAAATGGATGAGTGCTTACCTATTCTGTCTTGCAAATAGTTATTGCTACTACGTACGATGGGAGCTTCCAATTTCCATCTTTAATCTGAAGACACTTAAACGTACGCGCCATCTCGTGGCAACTTTCGTAACGATCCCAATGAACATTCCTTTGAGAAGGTTCCTGATACCATCCCTGTGCCTTCCACTATTTCGGCGTGTACAGTGCACCAGATAGCTTGCGTATTTGCGTAAATACGTAGGAATTTCATACAAATACGCATGTAATTTTCAAATGTATGCGTATAGATACGCTTGTGTTTTAATAAATACGTACATGAGAAAACAAACAGATCGTATCGGTACGCTAACCTTCCATCTACTCCCGTATCGGCTCGACTCTCTCGCTAATAGACTGGTAGCTTGGTCGCGGTGCCCCACTGAGCACTCATTAAGTTCGCTATGGCTGCTGTGTGTCAGTACGTGAACCAGTCTATCTACTATCTATCGTGACTGGTTCCTGTGTGTAGTTTATTTTACAAAGCTCTGAAGTTAGAATTGGTGTTGCGACTGGAACGCAGTCTATACTCCGGCCTTCCCGGAATTAATTCCAAATAAGGAAAGTCGAACGTGTGTGATCTAAGCTTGTTGACTATTGGTCCATTATATTTGATTAGCCAATTAGAATTCAGTTTACTCCGCAGTAATAAAAACGCACGTTGCCGTCGTCTGCAGAAACAAACATGAAGTCTACACGTCGCGCTGCTGAACAGTGTCAGAGCATTTTAAAATATATGAATCCTACAAGACCAAGGAATGTTTCGTCAGTGGAAGATATAGTTTCACCTATAATCTCGCTAGTTGTTGAAAACTGTCTGGATATTGTCGCTCCCAAGGCTAAGAAGAAACACGATGGTAGTTTTGTTAGCGAGGAGACAGTAGCAAAATGGAAGGGAAAATATCCATGGCTTATACTCGTTGGAAATGGGGCGGACAGAAGGATTAGGTGCGACAGTTGTGTTAATGCAAAAATTGATAATGTGTTCGCGAAGGAAGGTTGTAAAGGCAAGATATGTTAATATTCTGGTCGATACTCATACTAAGAAAATATGATGAGTACTGCCAACAAGGAGTACTCATAGGAATCTTGCCGATACTCATACATAAAAAAAATGGTGAGTAAATACTCATCAACGCCAAAAATTATCTGGAGCACTGGTGTATGTGAACACATTTGGGACTAACAGGGTTTACTAGAATCCCGGAGTGGTGGAGCGACAGCGCTCATCTAACGTCTACTGCGGTGACTCTGTGGTGCGGCACTTGTTTTTAATGTCTTTTATCTTTTGATTTCTTATTATTTTTTACTGTTTGGGATGGGATGCGGTGCAATGGGATGGCATGGAATGGGATGGATGGATGGATGCATGGATAGATAGATAGTTAGATTTTTTGGGGGTATTTTTCTTTCAACCAAGCGGTCACCAACTGAGTAACGCCACTGATTTCCCCGGGCAACGCCGGGTATCCCGCTAGTCTGTTTATATACAGACAGGGTAGGGCAGATGCATTTTGTGAAACTGTTTACATTCAAATAAGCTAGAACCTAGAAGAAGTATGTGAAGCTGTATATATATATATATATCTAATCTATATTTCGGTTCATATGTATGTATGTCCCCTATGCCCGGCCAAACTGCCCAAGCGATCGGGATGCAATTTTCAGAGGGCGATTTCCTATTGTATATATCCATGGGTGTATACCCTTGAAAGAGAGAGAAGGCAGCTACTAGCGACTCTTGCGCACTCCGCGATGTGGTGTGGCTCGCTAGTAGCTGCCTTTTGTTTCAAGTTAGGCGGTTTATACATTCAGTTTGCTGGCAACATAATGGGAAATCGTGTCGTACGTTTTAGACTGTATCTCCGGATTGCGGGTGTATACGAGGAAACGATTTCGCACGATTCTAGGTGAATGTACTGTGTACGATTTGAGCTCAAGTTGGTTGAGTTACGCGTAGTAAATCGTAGGTATTCTAAGGCTAGTAAATGACGAATTTCCCTTGTTTATTGAAGTCACACTCCTTCCCTATTATCTACTTCTGATATATATATATAGTCACGTATGAAAAACACCAGTGGCTGCTGTAGCCAATAGATCAGAACGAACAACAGGATCTCATTTAGATTCAGAGCCATATGATAACATGATTCAATATGAACAGGCTAAACAACTTTCACAAAACAAACCAATCCGAATCCTCACTGAGAAATCCCTGGTGGTTCCACAGCCTCCCTCAAACCAAACGTTGATGTTAAGAGTCGAACCGCATACAGGTATAAAACGTAAAATGCTTTTATACGCTGGCCGCCTTTAAGAAATGGATCCTCACATATTATTTTGTCAGGAAGCCTGACTATGTTTTGTAATATTTGTATTCATTAGTCATCGTGGTATCATGAAGAGACGTGTACTCGAACGCTTGCAAAAAAAATTGATACCTAGTTCATTTATATCTAGTTTTCATCTCTTTTCTCTTTCTCTCTCTATTTCAGATCACAGTGCCATTTCAGTATGAATGGCTAGATGAATTGTTTAGTGAGCTGGCAACCCTGATTTTCTTCACAATGACTGGTTTCAAGTTTCGACCAATGAGCAGTAATCCGTATCTGCAGATATCGCAGGATGATGATGAAATTGAGATGGACCAGGTGTAAGTTGTCACCAGCTGTCACTGCCTGCCACTGTATGTCCAACTGCTATACGAGCAGTGGTTTGCATCGAATACAAAGTATTGCTCTAAAAACAAAACAAAATCAGGAAAAATATTTATCCTTTGTTTAACAAACATTCCTTATAAATATATTAGTTTCATATATTTTTGTTCGAGGATGTTAACTCTTTTGATTAGCTGTTGTTTTAGTTCACATTGACTCATTTCAAAATGTTAGAGGATTCTGATGTGACGTAGATAGATAGAAGTGATGTGTAGTGTTTACAACTTTAGATGAAGAAGAACCAGAATCATTCCATTGATTATTATAATGACAAGTAGCCATTTTCTGTGTCATACGCAGGTACTTTTCAAACCTTGTGTAGGTCTTGCGTATGTAGACCGTTGTTAGCAATACATTTATGTTATCTTTACCATCTGCTCTCATGTGTTACAGCTTAACAGAATCCGGGGCTCTGGAGTCTGTACATCTAGTCAGGAAGAATGGTGGAGACGGTGACGGTGTCAGCAAGCGAGAGAGCAGTCATGATTACGACTGACCATCTAGTCCAGTAACCAGTTGGTGGAAAGCTGTACCAATAATTACTCACTGTAGTGTGTAATGGCTCTATAACATTGGAGAAATGCAAATCATACTATTAATGTATGGGTGTGAAGCAAGAGGTAGTAAGAGTTGGTTTGACCACGTATAAAACTGTGTCCCAACATTCCTCCTTTTGTAGTTGCAGCATGTGACAGAGTACAAATGGTGAACAAGTTTTAAGTTATGCTAATATTTGTATAGCAGAGTAAGTATGCATACACAAACATCTGTGCAGCAGAAGGGTCTAATCGCCATGCCCATTACTATCCTTGGGCATAGGTGTGTGACATTTATTCAGAAAGAGCCATGCAGAGGGAGGAAACTAATGCATCCACGAGTCGTGTGTGTGTAATGAGTGTCGTCCATACAAGGGCAGAGACTGGATGCTTGTGTGACATCTGTATAATATGTGCAAGGGCCTGCATGGCATCACCTGAGCAGAGGCAGCACGTGGAAGTTGGCAGAATATTAGATCTACTGTAAATGTGCATTTACACTTTTCCATTCTAATTCTTAATTTTTCCGAGTAAGGTAATTGTGGTGTACCCTACTTTTTTTAAGAAACAAGTTCTAGTAGATACATTGTTTCAAGACTATGGTAGATACAAAAGGACTATAATGGAATTGTTACCTTGTAACAGCTAAGTGTAACAGTGATATGTCAATGGTAAATTATTGTGATTGTTGTGCTTCACCAAAATTATTGTATTTAAGCAATGTAGAATAAATTATATTAACTAATAAGACTATAAGAATGATATGATACTAAACAATAACATGATGATGAAAACATTATTTTAAACAAATAACTGTACATACTCTGGTGAATTAAAAATAAACATAAATTATGTACACAGTGAGCAATATATGTACAACTTCACACATTGATTTTCCTTATTTTTAACAAATATTGGTAGCAGGTTTTTACCTATATCAAATCCTACGATACATAAAATGAATCCACCAAAAAAACTGTTACAGTTGCAGTTGATGACTGACCACAAATGGACAAATTACTTAGTAGTCGTATAAGGCACAGGAAATAGGTTTGTGAAAGCATATCCATGTAGAGAGTTTGGTGTAGTGTCTGTGTCTTCCTCCTGGACCGTAGCTCCTGTAGACGTGTCACAGCTGTCAGTGCTAGAACAACGAAATAGCAATATTACAATTTTACCAGTTAGTGCACGCAATGCATTACATTCAAAATATTACAGTGCATGTTGGACTGCAAGAAATGTCACTACTTTTCATAAAATAACAGCAAATACCTGCACTGATACGTGGCTCCCTCATGTGGCAGGTCTGTAAGCTCCACATTACGCACACTGCCAAAGAAGTCTGTAACTAGAACATTCTTGACATCTCTTGTGAATAGATCAGTTCTTTCACTCACTGTTGATATGCACTGTTGTTTGGAACACACCTTGAACTGCAAACGAAGTACATTTTGAAGAAAGAATTAACATTCCTAATTTCATTAGCTAATAGCTATGATGGTTATATTGTAATTACATGTCATTACTATCATACACACATCTATAGGTAATTATAATATGTAAAAACAACAACTTTCTGCTTACAAATTGCCCCAGGGTCTTGTTGCTACCAGGTTGAACCTTTTCCAGAAACTCGAGAGCATAGTAGGTGTAGCGGTCGATAATGTACACGCCAATGGCTGGGTCGACATGGTGCTGTAACGTACACACAAAACAATGACAAATCAAACGGGCAATGTCCATCCCACATGACCATCACCCACGTCATGACATAAATAGGTAAACAAAAATCATGTGAATGCCTGCTCACAACACCAAATTTATATACAAATTCCAGTGCAGTTCTGTAGTTATTAAAATGTTTTTCCCCAATTTTTTTACTAAAACAGCCATTTACACTCAAAAGCTTGGAATATTCAGGAATTGACTACAGACTGAACGTGAGACTGATGACATACTGAAAGTGAGTCTTCTCCAACCAAACTGCTAGCAACACCTATGATATTAGGCGAATAGAACTTCTGGTACATGGAAGCAGCTTGACATGTGTCAATGATGAACAGCATCTCGTGGTACCTGAAGCCAAATACAAAATGACGCTATAGCACGATGCGTATCAGATATTCATTTGATTAACAAAACCAAAAACAGGTTCAATCATCCCATGGGTGCTAGGACAGAATTAATAGTCTACGACACCTGCAGGGGTCGAAATAAGCGATGGTTTGATGGTCCGGGGCCATCAACTAATCAGGAGGACCATCAGATTTTCAAAGTCAATGGTCTGACGGACCATTGAATATTTTGGTCCCATTTTACGGTAATTTTCTTTGAAGTTTCGATGTTCCAATATACTATTAAAGTGAATAAACAATTACTGTATCGTTTGATACATTCATTGTACAGCGAACGAGTTTGGCACTCGCCCGCTCGCCAATGTCGAGTGAAAATAATATCGGGCGAGTAAAAGCTAAAGCTGACTCGCCCATGTTGGCGAGTAAAAATAATTGATATTAGGCGAATAGAACTTCTGGTACATGGAAGCAGCTTGACATGTGTCAATGATGAACAGCATCTCGTGGTACCTGAAGCCAAATACAAAATGAAAGTGTCAATGACACTGTAGCTCACCACAAAAAAAGGACACAAATGAGTGAGTAAGAAGAAGTCAGTTTTAATTGAGCAACCATCGACGTACATTATAGAAACAATTGCCATCTGTATATCGCAATAATAATTTATAAACCAAAATGAATCACAATTTGTGACCGTAGATGGCACTATACCCGCTTTGTAGCGATGGCGCTTGAAATAAATAGGTTATGCTGCGTTCCGACATGTTTTGTAAATCTTTACTCTAATATAGATGTTTTATCGGCAGAGTGGATAGGAGAGGAAATACCAATTTTGCATTAAAGATATTGTCAATGAAATCTTGTAAAACGAACCAGACGAGTGTGACACCACAGACTGTTTGTGTTTATATAATATGCTATATAATTGCCAAACCCTACCTAATTTGCATAATTTTTTTTTAAATATCAAAACCCATAGCCCTTATTCATTCACATACCAAAAATTAGCAAAATCCGTTGAACCTGAACTGACTAATGGCAATTCCCATTTTTGCCAAAAAATTGCCGTGGCTCGAAAGTACGTCTACTGGCGTGCTTTAAAATAGGACGTTCCATATGGGAGCATAGCAGTAACAACTACACCCAATTTCAAACATGTGGGTCAAACGGTTCCTGAGTTATCGTTGACCAAACCAAATGTTGACGGACGGACGTACGACGGACGACGACCCATGGCAATAGCTTAACTTGACGCTATAGCAAGATGCGTATCAGATATTCATTTTAGTAACAAAACCAAAAACAGGTTCAATCATCCCATGGGTGCTAGGACAGAATTAATAGTCTACGACACCTGCAGGGGTCGAAATAAGCAATGGTTTGATGGTCCGGGGCCCCCAAATAATCAGGAGGACCATCAGATTTTTAAAGTCAATGGTCCGATAGACCATTAAATATTTTGGTCCCATTTTACGGTAATTTTCTTTGAAGTTTCCGCGTTCAAATATATACTATTAAAGTGAATAAACAATTACTGTATCGTTTGATACATTAATTGTACAGCGAACGAGTTTGGCACTCGCTCGCTCGCCAGTGAAAATAATATCGGGCGAGTAAAAGCTAAAGCTGACTCGCCCATGTTGGCGATTAAAAATAATTGTCTAAAACTTTAATCAAATGTTGGTTCCTTAACAGTTCTAGCGATTGTGGCGGGGGGGGGCCGGATTGTTTAAAAGTCGCGTGGGGCATGTTCATTATAGGGGGTGGGCACCACTGGGATCAGAGGACGACAGCAAAATTCTTTCCTGGAATTGAGGAAAAAGCTGCAATCGGGAACACAATTGAAACACAATGAGCATGCTGGCACGCAAAAATAAACGTTGTGTGAATTTCATTACAATTTTCTATGTATATATTGTAATATCAGGAGTGTATAATATCAATATATATCTATCTATCTATTTATATAATATAGATCTCTATATTATACATTCCTGGTAATATGATATATGCACTGCACCAAAAGAGGACCTTAACGGCTCATAGATTGCAAGTAAATTTTGTACAGATCTGAAAATAATTAAGCGTCGAGGCCTGTGTTAATTCAGTTGGCAGATAGATCAACTTATTAACCACATTACTTTGCCTTAGCATTGTACTTGCACAACTTGGCAGAGACTGAGCAGTTCAACCCTCAGCAATTTGAAGTTTATTATGTTTCTCTTTTTTTAAGTAAGTATTTTAGTCTTTGGTGTCCCCAAAGATTAAAATACTCAACTCAAAAGTGATATTTTTGTGATGAAGATTGTTTAATAATTCTGCCTCAGCGTGCAGGAAATTGCATCTAAGAGGTGCAATTTAAAAAAAAAAATTCCGGGGCCTCCGGACCCCGCCTAATTGGGGACCCCTTCTCGAACCCACCCCACAGTCTATTTTTTCACTATTGTTTGACAAGCATTTTTGTTTTAAAATTTGGGCGAGTTAACTTATTGACTCACTCGCCATGTTTGGCAAGAGGTGTTTATTTTAAAGCTCTAACACTGTTGTAGGTGAATAATTAAACCATTTTATCACCATGTAAAATCTCTTTCTTATGCTTGCACGCTGCATTACTTTTAGAGAACAATTTGAAATTTAGGAGGACCATCCAAAATTTAGGAGGACCATCTAAATTTCAAACTAGATGGTCCTGTGGACCATCTCTTTTTTCTCTCATTATTTCTACCCCTGCACCTGCATTTGCTTGCATACCTATTTTTCTGCCACATCTGCTCAAATGCATCGGCCAGTTCGACGTTAGTAATTTCCTCGGCGTCCTGGAACTTCAGAAAGCCATCGCCGCCGTGTCCGGTCATGTAGATGAGCACGTTGCTGCGGTCGTCGGTAAGCAGTCGCTTGGAGCGCGGCGTGCCAGGCGGCAGACGCCCCGTTAGCACGCGGATGAAGTTCTCCACCGTCACCTCGTAACCACGGTAATCGACCTCAACGTCGTCACCGTAGACATTGATGTGCTGATTGCGATTATTGAACACGGTTGCTGAAAGTCATATAACAGTATCACACCACCCACAGGAGTAATCGACTGAACTCGTCTGCACACCAATTGTATTTCTATTCCACTGAGTGTGATGCATAGAGACTACTTAATATGACGATTAGAAAATAACCAATGAGACTCGTAATGAGAAACTAATCATATAGTGAAAACCACATTTAAAGCACCTTCTACTATTATCTGTAACGAATATTTGTGATAAATCATTACAAATAAAAATTAATAACTAACTGCACTTTACCGGAATGTTAGTTGTAAAAATATAACTGTGCACATGTCTCAAAATTCTACGTGAGCTCAAACAGTATATAACTCGAACACTGCCTCTCACCAAGCAAGGTGAACAGTGCAGTATGCTCCCAGGACTGGGCAGCAACATATATGGATTCTGTTTTTAACATATTTGTTCAAACAGAATAACTTTGTTATCAAAATATTTCAAAAGACAATTTTTTACCTATCGATGTATCATATGTGTACACACACACAACTTCAAAATAATGAACTTTGAGGAGGTGCTGTTTGCCAGCAATTATATGTGGGAATTCATCACATATACTTTGCCAATGCAGCTATGAAAAATCTAATGTGTAAGCTTAATAAATAATGAATAGTGAATTTTCAACAAGATTTACATGCTTAAAATATGCACGTACCTGGTCGAGGATTTCGGGGATTGCACGCCATGTCATCAGCTACCATTAGGATGATCTGACTGGAACAACGAAAATGTAATCATATATATCACCTGATAGCACACAACATAAAACGAGTATAACAATAACATGTGCTTTACCACATATTACTGGATTATTCCATCTAGTTTTGGCATCAATGTGGCATTATAAAATAATGGTATTCGATTTTTATTATAAAACTTATAAGTACCGAAATTATTATCTTATTAGTGATTGAAAAATATTAAATTCTGACAATTCATCTCTGTGCCTGTACATAACCACAAATTAGTATGAAATAAACTGCACAACTCATTTCATGTTCAATCTTATGTTGAATATTATGAAACTACAATAGCTAGATGTAAATCAATTTCGGTTAAGGTGAAAGAAAGTCGTTTAGCACATGATAGATGATTAAAATAAGCTAAGAATGGATAAAGATTTTCATTTGATTTTCTTGTGGCTGTACCTACATAGCTATTCTCAGTGCAACAGACCCATTGCAGAGTGAGTGCTACATGGGAAGGGCTAGTTTTTTTGTATTGGGGACGCATGGAAGGGCTAGTTTATTGATGCATAAAATTCACTGGGAAAAACCAGTAAAACTAAAAACATGGTAAAATAGGCATCATTTTATATTGTATAATCATATTGTTATATTGTATAATCATGACATACATGTGTATAAAGAAATGTGTAAAAGGAAATAAGTATAAAAGGAATCCTTGTAATAAAGTGCATGTTTACTCTGCATATAAAAATGACAATCAAACATTTAAACAAATTTAATAAAAAAGAGAACTGTGACTATTTTACAGTCACACGTCTTTTGTAATTACCTGTCAGGAATACCGAGTCTTTTAACACTTCGGTACATGGACAAAACATTGGCAACATGCCTGTAGTTGAACCAGAACCGCGAAGAGTCAACAAGAATTGCCCAGTTGTTCGTGTGACCACTCTTGAAGAAATCTGTAGCTTGTCCCTGCAGGCGAGGAGATCATATATGTTGTGTTTATAGCATATTCGGCAGGGGGGGTTAACAGCTGTACACAATGCGACAGTACACACACAGCACAGGCGGGGCGCGGTAAGGGGTTCGGAGTCGAGTGCCGCCATATTGGCCGGTAGGAGAGTGTATTTGTGCCACCCTAACCCTAACACTAACTATAAACCTAATTAATCTATCTATTAATTAATAATTAATAATTCAACGCACCAATCAGAGACGCGTGATTCATCAATCTGGCGTCGCCATCCTACGGTTTAAAAAATCGCGCGCGGGCAGGGGGTTCGCAGTCGGGCGCCGCCATATTGACCGGTAGGAAAGTGTATTTGCGCCAAATTTTTTAATATTTATATATTTTAATATTTTAAATAATTTTTACATTTTAACTGTACCCACTAATATCTGTTAATAGTGTACCGGTACCCACTATTATCTGCTGATCCGATTAGAATTTGGCCGAATTTGGCCGTGAGATGGCGTGTGTTTGGCCGTGAAGTCTGTCGACTATCTGGCAACCCTTAACCTGTATGATACAGGCGGTTCCGGTTCCGGTTCCGCTTCACTACACTAACCGCCTGTAACCCTTGCTTATTCAACCCGCTTCGCGAACCAAGAAATCATTGCGCCCAATCAGAGAGCTGTAACGGGCCAATCAGCCAATCAGCGAGCAGGCTTTTGCCTGACGTCATTTCTCAAGTTATTCAAGCCATAACAACCGGTCGATCGATAACGAGGCTTGCGAACCGCCAGGGTTGAGCTCGCGTACAGGCGGTTAGTGTAGTGAAGCGGAACCGGAACCGCCTGTATCATACAGGTTAGGCAACCCTGGTCGAATAGTAAAACTATCACTATCAGTATCACTATCAGTATCACTATCAGTGCATCACTAGTAATAC